CAAAATTAAAAAAAAACTGGTAGTAAACTCTATAATACTTATGATAACAACTATAAATCAATGATAATTTGGTATTTACTGACACCTTTTGCAAAATGTATTTAAGGGCTTCTGGAAATAATTGATTAGTAATTAATTGAGTGAAACAAAATCTGAGAAGAATTTTTTAGTTCTTCTTTCCTTATGTTTAAATTATGAGCAAAATGTTGGCTTGTTTGCTAAGCACGAGGAATATCTATAGGACATGGTGAACAGCTCCTTAGGTGTTTTATCTTCAAGGCCAGGTAAGTTAAATTCTTCGACTGTTAGGTTATTGGCTAAATCTTGTATATTATTATCAATTTCTTTTTTTAATTCTCCATTCTTGTCAAAATTCTAAAGGTAAACAAAATATTATTTCACATATATATAAAATATTGGCAAAAAAACCTTCACCTCAGCACTATCACTAAAACCATGAGATAATTCATGTCCAAGAACATGACCTATTGCGCCATAACTGACTGATTTTGGAAAGTTTTTAGGGTAGTAAAATGGTTCTTGTAATACACCTTCTGGAATATGTATTTCATTTTTAGAAACTTCATATATAGTACCTTTTAAATTCCATCTATTTTGAAAGTATTCAGATATCTTAGGGTTCCAATTTTCATATATTTGATAAGTGATATGTTCCTTTTGTACAAAATATGGATGTTTTATCTTATCAGTAATGATTAATATGTTTTCATGGATTTTGTTCTTTATTTTTGAAGATAGCCAATCCACTTTTTGTATTCTATGCTCAAAACTAGATATTATTTCGTCTGCTGCAATGTTAATTTCCCTTTCACTTTCTCTAAAGAAAGCTGCTTCCACAAATGTTTCAACAAGTTCAGATCCAATGTCTTTTTCTAAGAAATTTAAAATTTTTAAAGTAAATTCTAATCACTTTTAATTAGTTCAACTTACTGATATCAATTAAACAGTTAAGCCATCTTTCATTGTTGCTTCTCTTCCCAGAAATTTTACCATCAAATTCTTCTTTTGCTTGTCTAAATGGTTTTGAAAGGGAAGAAATAGAATCTTGAATGACTTGCCATATCAAAAAATTGTGTAAAGTTCTATTTCCTTCTTTAGTTTGTTGAGTTTGATTAAGAAATGTATTTAATTTATAAAAATATTGACTATTGGATGGAATAGCAACAGACACATCCTCACTAATAACTTTACTAATATTATGAAATTTATATTGATTATTAGCAAACTGAAGCCAATCCATCTTGAATGAAGAAAAAATAACAACTCAATAAGTAAAGCCAAACAAACAAACAAAAACTACTTACAAATGGGAATTCTTCTTGTAATTCTTTAAATGTGAACATCTTAATGTCATTTTTCTTCTCTTTTTTATTACTGCTAAACTATTAATGAATAATTCAGAGAATAATGATACCTTTAATGGAAGTTGAGACTTACACTTGCTATTTTTTGATGGAATGTTATAATATCAATAGCCAGTTTTTGAGAAGAACTCTTCTCTCCTCCTAATAGTTCATTTATGTTCATTATGTATTTTTTAAAAGATGTTAGTGCTTTGTTGCTACTTATATTCAATGGCTGTGTTCCATTTATTAACTGATCTCTTTTTAATTCCAAATCTCCTTCCTCTAAATGGTACAAAATCCTTGATGAATTCTTCTTATCCTTAGTAGCTCTCAAGGAAAATAGAGGTGAAATATTGTGTACTGTCAGCTTTTCTATTGTGTCCTGAAAATTTTCTTTTGAAACAGAAGACTTGTTATCAGCACCCCAACCACCTAAGCTTCTAATTAGACCAAGTAGAGGCTCTGCTCCTAACTTTTCAATTGTTTGAGAATGGTCTAAACAGGACTGGTAATAAATTCTGCAATTCTCTAATCCCCGATTATCAAAAGTTGCATTTTCTTGTTTTGCCAAAACATGCTGATACAATGGTTTACTTGCAGTTGTTAAACCATACAATATTCCCTCTTTTTGCCAAATGAGTGACTTTTCAAAGATTTTGCAACAAATATTGTTTGTACTATATGATTTTAAGTAGGGATGACATATTTAATTCTAGGTTCAACTATCTAATAATTACTTACTTCTCACCAAAACTGCTTAAAAATATATTTGAAACCATGTGACAAGTTTCACTTTTGCAAACTTTCTCCTCTTTTACAGGATTGCCAATAGATATCCCTAAAGGAGCCATTATAAAAAGAATAAATACTATAAATGGCCATGTTACACAGACCATCTTTCCAGTTATCTGCAACAGCTAGTCTTGACAAAAAAACAGTTTTGTAAGTGACAGGAGTTTGAAAATTTCAATACTGACAGCGCAACCTATTGGCAAAAATGTAATATAAAAATTTTTTATTTAGGTTTCTTTGTTACATAGTGGTCGACAAAAAAACCCAGACACCATAAATTTCGATAGGCCGAATGTTATAAATCTTTTTCACCAGGAAAAAAGATTTTTTTTTTTATTTTTCAGGTATAAAATAGTAGTTTAAAGTTTGATATATACATGAGTTTCTTTTAAATATGATTTAAATAAGTTTTCATATAGGTGTTTTTGTTTTCTTATTATCCATTTTTTGATGATTTTTTTCTTATTTGGCCATGAGACATTATTACTCAGATGATGGTTTGGGGATTAATATTTTTATTATTTTTGAATATGACAACCCTCATTTGCAATACATTTGCTAATCCTACCTCCCATCCCTGCATATAAATTTGGTAGCAAGTCAGGATTTTGACTTATAACCTGGTATGAACATTTTTTTATTTTCTCCCACAGTTCATCCCCAGATTGAAATTGTGCCCCATCATAAACTAAATTTTTTGTCAGGTGCCACATATTTTCTATAGGGCTCAGGTCAGGGCTCTTTGCTGGCCAATCAATTGGATTGATACCATTCATTCTAAAGGCCCTCCTAGTTGCTCTTGCTGTGTGGCAGCCTGCATTGTCTTGTTGGAAGATGTAATTCCTGCCCATTTTGAGTGATATCTCTTCAATGACAGGAAGAACATCTTCCACAACAAAACAGCTATAATTTTGGGCAGTCAATTTTTGACTTATCCTCCAAACCTCAAATACCCCATCTGAGGTTATTAATCCCCAAACCATCACTCCACCTCTTCCCATATTTTTTGTTACTCTAAAATTTTTTTCAACATCTTTTGTCCATGTCCTGAAATCATCAGGCCCACTCAGAGAGAATCTGGCCTTGTCCATGAAAATCACTGTTGACCAGTCCAGATTTTCCAGAATTATTTTGAGGCAGTATTCTTTTCTTCTTGCTCAATCCTTAGGTGTGAGATCAACTCTCTGTCTAATCCTTTTATAATTATAATTTTGCCTCTTCAGCTCTCTCTGAATGGTCTTGAGACTCACATCAACCTCTAATTCTGCTAAGACCTTTCCTGCTGTAACCCTTTCCTTATTTCACTTAAGTCTCTTTACTATTCTTTTTATCCTGACTATGTCTCTTTCTGTTAGCTTCTTTGTACAACCCCTATTCTCTTGTTGCGGTGGCTGATATCTCAAAATGTCATTAATGGTAGATGGTGCCATTCCCAAAGCCCTTGCAGTTGCCCTAATTTTTCGCAATTCTTCATATTTCTTAAATACTAGATTCCTAACCTCTTTACCCCATGCCATAATTAAGTAAATATAATTTATAGTTAACTACAGTAATTAAAATAGATCAAAAGTGATTACTTAACTTTGAAAATTAGTTTGGTCAAAAAAAATTTCTGTTTGGGATGTTAATTTGAATCCAAAACTGGAAATAAAATGCATGTGCGGTTAATAATGTCTCACGGCCAAATAAAGAAAAAATTAATTAAAATTAGTAAAAATTTTTTTCCTATTAATATTCACAAATATGATAATTTTGTCATTTTTTTTCAATATTACATAAATATAACCCTTTATTAATGTAAATTGCCTAAAAAAACTAATTTCAAACTAAAAAACATATTTTTGGGGTGATTTAAAAATTGGCCTATCAAAATTTACAGTGTCCGGGTTTTTTAGTCCACCACTATATTTTAGAAAATAAGGTTGAACTACTTAAATATTTGAATGCCTTTTTAAAAGTATTATTCACTTCATATTTATTACTAATAAAAACACTTTAAGAGAAAATTCAATGCCTATTGAGTACTTTTCAAATAGAATTGAATATTATTGTTAAACGATTTAAATAGTAAAATTTATTTATTTAGAACTAGACATATGTTCTCCAATTTAGTTGATAGAGGCACAGAATGTTTAATAAATCATTCAAAACTCTATTTTCTAATATTTTTATTTAATTTTTTATTGTTTGGAAATTATTACCTTTCCCTGTATTTGAATTGTAGAACAATAGTCAATTTATTCTTTAGTATGCAAAAATATGTCCAGTTCTAAAGTAATAAATGTTTTTATAGGATTAAGACATTTATTGAATGTAAAAGCTATTATAGGTCAATTGAAACATGAAATTTTTTCTATTTAAATTGTTTAACTATAATATTCAATTCTATTTGAAAAGTACTCAATAGGCATTGAATTTTCTCTTTAAAGTATTTTCATTACCTTACTTTTTGTTTATAGCTCTTTTAGAGGTGTCTATTACCAATTCTGTAAAAAGAGGAGAAAGTTTGCAAAAGTGAAACTTGTCACAAGCTTTCAAATATATTTTTTTGGGTTAGGTCTTGGTGTAAGGATTTGCCAATCAAGTACTGATTGACAGGCCTTTAATGCACACACACTGAAAGTTTGTTAGGCCAAGGTTAGAGTGGCTATTAGGAACTGCTGTCTTTATGAAATTATTTTCTGAATTTTTTTATTATTCTCCTATCCACTCAACTTACCATTGTTTTGTACATCTCTCTATAATCTGGGACCTGTGATTCATAAAGGTCTATTATGATCATTATAATAAAAGTAGAAGATAGAAAATATATTTAAAAACAACTAGGACAAACAACAAAAGTAAAATTAAAAGTAAATAAGGGTGTTGGGATAGTAAGAAACATGAAAAACTGGAAAATAAGGAAAAAAATAAATTTCAAAAAGTTAATTAGACTAAATAAAATTTGTTCATGAAATGGTAAAGTAGAATTTTTTAGGAAATGATTGCAGTATATAGAAAAATACAAGTGAGCTATATTCATATATTAGGTACGAATGAAAAGTTTCAGTCACTGTGCTGTAATTTTAAAATGGCTTAACTAATATCATTGATACTTTCCAATAATCTTAGGAAATTAGTAAACTTTCACTGTGCAAACTTTCATTCGATTCTGTTGAGGCATTACAAATTTATTTTGGTATAAGCAACTGCAAGTCATGTGCACACATTCTGATCAACTACCAGTCATAGCATTTTTAGTGCATGAGAAGGTGTCTGCGAGACAAATTTATAAGCGGTTAAAAAGCTTTTGTGGGGATGAAACTCTGAGTGAAAGTTCAATAAGGAGGTGGGTATCTGACATAAAAAAAGGAAGAAAAAATTTTGAAGATTTGCCAAGATCTGGTCGTCCAAGCACAGCTGTAACAGGTCAGAATAGAGAAGAAATTGACAGGCTTATCAGAGAAGATCGGACCATTTCTCAGAGAGCAATCGCCCAACAAATAGAAATTTGTCAACAGACTGTAGGGAAAATTATAAAGGAGCTAGGATACAGAAAGATCTGTGCAAAATGGATTCCTTATGCTCTCAATCTGGACCAGAAGCAGGTGAGGGTGAGTCATTGTATGGAGCTACTTGAAAGATACACAGCAGAAGGAAGAGACTTTTTAGAAAAAATTGTGACTGGAGATGAAACCTGGGTACACCTCTATGATCCACAATCTAAAAGGTCTTCTTTGACTTATAAACACACATCATCTCCACCTGACAAGAAGCTTAGAATGGCCAAGTCAGCAGAAAAACTGATGTGCTCAGTTTTTTGGGACTATTCTGGTTTAGTCCACATTGAATTCATGGAGTATGGAGAAGTAGTCAACTCAATACAATATGTTGAGACCCTAAAGAGACTAAGGAAGAGGTTGCATAGAATTAGACCTGGAAAACAAATGATACTACAGCATGATAATGCAAGACCACATACAAGTCTCTACACAACAGATTTCATAAGAGATCAAGGGTGGTCATTATGCCCTCACCCAGCCTACAGTCCTGATTTGGCTCCCTCTGACTATTCTCTTTTTGGGAGATTGAAGGACCATATCAGAGGATCCCATTATGACAATTTGGAGGAATTGAAGACAGATGTCAAAGATTTTCTGAGGAGAAAGCCAACCTTGTTTTACTGGAACGGCATCACTCTACTTCCTAGCAAATGGCAGGCTTGTATAGAAAAAGGAGGGGACTATTGAAAAATTAAATTATCAATATTTGTAGCATATACTTTAGGCTTTAACATACACAAAAATTAACCACATTCATCAAATATTTCTAACAAAAAACACACAGTGACTGAAACTTTTCATTCGTACCTAATATATAACTCTATACATTGAATAGGCTCTTGGCTGTGTAAAGAAATATAAAGGAAATGATTGAAAAGATTTCAGAAAATGAATGGCTCTCTCTCTATATATATTTTCTAACTTGACTGGCTGTGTTTTGATTTTGTAGAGGATTTTATAGGCTGATCTCAGGTGAAGAAGAAGATTTTATCAAAAGAGTAAATTCAATTTAAAATTTGAAAAGTTAAATCCTAGATTTGGATGAATAGTACTTTTTTTGTATTATATATATATGATTGATTAAATATTTTATTTTGAAGGCTCTTTTTGGTGATATTCTTTGAAAGCTATCATCTGTAACACTCAATAAATATTAATGTTCAGTACTAAAGTAAGGCCTCATAATTTGCTTTTTTTAATTCTCCAAAAAAAAACTCCAAGGTTTGCCAGGTTATCTATTTCCTGTCACTTTTTCATAAAATTTTAAAGGAACCACCTTGACATATATAAACAAGGTAAAAGGATATTAAAAGATGATTCTAATGATATAAAATATATCTGTATTCATTCAAACATTTCTATTGAAATATTTGATGTTTTACATTTCACCTGCCAAATCTGGAATAATTCCACTTTCAATTCCAATAGGATCATTAGAAGAGGAAGAGGTCTAGAATTGTTTGTTAATCAATCTATGTATTATTTTGTAACAAACTATAGCTTTTTTTATCAATATTTGAGAAGAATTTCAAAAATTGATGATAGAGTGGTAATGCTCTAAACAAGACAATCATTTTAAAGTGAATATTCCTTTTAAAAAATTTTAAACATGTAGATGTAAATATATTTTAATTTGTAGTAATTTATGAATATGACAGAAGTCGCCCAGAGCTGTGTCAGAAGTTGTCCAGGACTATGATAGAAGTTGCCCAGAACTTTTGACTTAATCTGCAGCGGCAAATGTTGGCCATGTCATGTTTGCCTTATCATTATGATCTAAGTGTAATAGTCTTTGTTCTCTTTGTTTCTTGTGGATTATGAGACTGTTGCATCTCACCTTTTTAATCGTTTGACCAATTGAACCCAAGCTTTGGTAAATGTATAAAAGTAAATACATTTCTCCAGCTCAGCAGTTCAGTTCTTTAACCGTTGGCTGGTTGTTTAAACTTACTTGTTTAGAACTAGAAGCTCATTTACTCAATACATATTCTTTGGATGATAAACTGGCAATATTTTTGCAGTACTTTGCTGAGGTGATCAATGATTGAAGAAGACAAATACTGTTCCGGAGAAGCAGAAATTCCTACAATTACAATACAACAAAGTACATTATTTAATTTCTATTAAATTATACATTCTATATTTATTAATACTTTTTACATATTTCAATTGTCAGAAATTAAATAGAAAAAAAGAACAAAGAGATTATGTCTCCTATAGTACTGGGTGACTTCTCTCACTGTCCTAGGAGACTTTTATCACAGTTCTGGACAACTTCTGTCATAGCTCTGGGTGACTTCTATTAAAAATTCTGGGCGACTTCTGTTGTTCCCATAATTTATTACTTATATATTTTTGTATTATTTAAGAATTCTTAGTATTCTACTGTCTCTAAGTGCACAATGAATATTCATATGATTATAGAATAAGCAAATTTTTGTTTGCAAGTATTGACCATCTTTTCGCACTAACATTTGTTCACAGTACTCATTTTACTTGAATGAAGGGAAATTTTTCCATACATTGATACATAATTAAAATTCTATTTGCCAAAGTCATTAGTCCCAGACATATTATTTATAATAAATGATCCTATTCAGTTTTGTTACAATGATGTTCAAACTCCCTTTGACAAATCTACTCAGGAATTAATTTTGTCACCTCTTTTCAATATAATGATACAATGTTTTTGCTAATTGAAAAATTGAGAGAGTTTTGAATAAATTATAACGGTCATAATCTTTCTACTCTTTATCTAGACACTTGTTTTAGATTTTCTGGAGAGTTCTTTAAGGAACATGACTACTAGACAAATCTTCACTTGCATTCTATATTTTGGAATTATTATTTCAGTTTCATGTAATGATTTAACTGTTAACATTGCTTTGAATCAGACCAACATTTCAGTTAGTTCAACAAGTACATATGAAAAACACAATGCTGTTGATGGAAGATTTCATACAGGTGTTTGTTTTGAAACTGAAATTAATAGTGTATCCAATCAATGGTGGATGATAACATTTTCAAAGCATTACTTTGTCAGATCAATAAGAATACTCAACTCTCAACAAAATGCTAATATGAAAAATGTTGTATTTTTGACAAGCACCTACTCAACATTTGATCCTGAACATCAAAAATATCTGTTTACAGTTTGTAATGTCATTACGAAATTCATAGATCTTTTTGAATCAGTTACCAAAAACTGTTTAAAAGGTCCACTTTACTCCAAATCTGTTGTTGTAAAGAATAGGAATGATAATTCTACACTTACTATCTGTGAAATAGAAATTTGGACACTTAGAGGTATTGATAGAAATATACAGACTGTAAATGGAATGGGAGATAATATACAGTCTGCAAATAATGATCAAAGTAAAGCTGATTGGATAGGTCAATTGTGCACGTGGTCAGGCAGAGTAGAACCCACTTGGTGGATGATTGATCTTCAGAAGCAAAGTGAAATATATGCCGTTTCTCTAATCAATAGAGTAGGCGTACTTGACTGTTTGGGATATTTGAAAATTATTGTTTCAAATAACAGCGCAGATCCTCCACCATGGACGCCTGAGAAAAAATGTGGTAGTATAGAAGCAGGAAGTTTCTATACAACTAGAAGATGTCCACAAAATACTTTTGGTCAATATTTGGCTGTATTTAAAGATGTTGGTGCCAGTGAACTTGGTCTAACAATATGTGAAATTGACATTTTTGGTTCATCAATTAATTCCAGTGTGAGTGTAAACTGGGTGATAAAAAGTATTAATTCAATTAATCAACCAAAAGAAAAGATAGCTTCTTGTAATGTTAAAGATTCCGAATCAATTGATGTCTCAGAAAATAGAAAAGAGAAAATAGTTGCTGAACTAAAAGGTGTATCTATAATAAGTTCATGTAAACAACAAGCATTTACTCTGATTGCATTATCAAATCATGACATAGAAGACTGTCAATTGATCAATACTGCAAATGGTTACTATACAGAAGTTGATATGCTTGATACTTGTTTCTTTGAATGTAATTGTAAACCTGGCTATTGTTTAAGAATTTATCTTAAAATATTCACATCAAAATTGCTTTCATTAAATAGAGACTTTTTTATTATTGTCAATGTTTAGTAAGACTTTTGTAAATTATTCAAACTTCTCATTCGTCTCTTTTATTTCTTTATATAATTTATTAACTTTTTTCTGAAAATAAATTGGAACAAAATATTTCTATTCATTGTCCTCTATTTTGGGTATTTATTGTTTATCATTCTGCCAATAGGTGGCGGTACATGCATAAGAGATAGAGTCAACAGAAAATATCCATAAATTAGAAGTTTTAAAGGTAGACTTTGGATTGAATTATGGTTAGGAAGAAGAAGACAGCAACTGACTGGTACTTGGGAGACTCTCCTCTTAGGGTTAGGGATAATGGAAGAGGTTAGGTACAGCCAAGTGATTAACCACACTGTTAGTGGTCCACCTAAATACTGGTTGAGCAAGTTTTCCCTTATTGCTGTTCAGTTTAATGATGGAATCTGTAGAAGAGAAATGTGATAAAATATTTATTCTATGAATATGAGAATGCAATTGTTCTCTTTTCAGTAAGCATGGAAACAATTGAAGAGTATTATTAGAATTTTTATTTAATGTTTGTACAATAGATAGTATTATTGCAATATACACAAAAGTCTATTATTATAGAAAAGTTATGTGATCTATTATAAATAATTGAGATAGTTCAGGTAAAAGAGAAGAAAATCATTCAAGCAAAAATGTTTTTAAATATAATATTGATATTTTTGTTCATAATTTTCAACTCAATCTTTCATGGAAAAGTGATTATTAGCAGAAAACATCTATCATTGGAAGATAAGCATGAGAATGATGATTATATTTTGGGAATAATAAAATATAAATCAAACTATTTAATTTCTTTAAATACTTATTTATATCCAAATTATAGTTTAGATATTTGTATTCAAATGGGATATAATTCAGATATTTCATTCCATAAATTGAGTGGTGAAAATTTAGCTCAGCAATCATGCTTCACTTATAAAAAAGCATACATCAATGGCGCTCCGTCTTTGCTTTCTCTGTAAATTAAATTCTTTTTTCTACTCTTTGTTTTTAAAGATGCCATAAAACAAACATATTCTTTTGCAGAGAATTTCAGAAAAAATGCCCTTACTATGAGAAAATTATTGTGAAATGCTTGAAAAAGAATAGAAACTGTTAGTCTTTAAAATATTTTTTTTTTAAATTTAAAAAAAATGACATATTTAAAAAACAAACAAAAGATTATTTTGCTGTTTGGAAAGAAACCTTTCTATATTCACTCTATTTTAAAATCAATAATCAAATTTTTAATATTGAAAATTCTGGACAAAATCTTAATGAACACTGCAAGAAAAGTTTATTTGCTGTTAAATCAGAGCCATCTTTCTATAGGGAATTTAAAAATGAAGATCAAATAATAACATTTAATAAAGAGACTTATCAAGAAGAAATTGTAAATAAAACAAATTCAATTGGAACTTTAAACTATTTATATTGCCAATACCAAGATTTAAATGGTCAATGTTTATTTTTTCATCATTGTTCATCATTATCTTTTTCTTCTTTTTAAAAGACTTAACTGCCATTTTCCCACCTTTCACAACAAATAGACAATCCTACCACAATGACTTTTACTTTGAAACAAAGTCTCTCCTAATGGTACCTAGAGTTTTTGTCAACTCAGCAGATTTGCAGGCTACCTGTATATTTATATGTCAAGTTATGAACCAGACAAATGTTGTTAAAATTTGTAAAGAAAAGATCATTAACATTGTAAAGAGGAGAAAAATTACCTTTTTTTTTTTAATTAAAACCAAACCACTTTTTTCTAATTTTTTTACTTTATTTTTATTACCATAAGGGAAATTATATAAAATATTTCATTTCCGGTTGTAAAATGGTTGATAAAAAAGTAGTAGGATGTCATTATTCAGTAAAATCACCGCTAGAATACGTTTCCCTTAAAATTCTGCAAACAACTTGTGGATCAAAGTTGGCCAAAAAAGAGTGTTTGTTCTTTTAATAACAATTTACAAAAATTTTCATTTGTTCTCACTTAAATTTTTAGTTGTCTCTTATAGTTTGAATGATTTACAGTTCTTTATGAAACATGTGCAAGAGTCCGATGAGTACCATTTTGGAAATTTACAAGTTAAATTGAAAAATGAAAGTCTGAATAGGATAATTGAATATGAAAGAATTCCTACTTATTTCAGTAACAAAATTTGTAAACTACTTGGATATGATGATTTCTATTCTATGGTCAAATATTCAAAAATTCTTAATACTCATAAGAAAACAATGATTTTTCATGATTACATTCAGATGACATTGTAAGCTGATTGAAGCTTTTTTGTTCAAAGATCATGTTTTTTAAATTTTTTTTTTCACCTCAACCCTAAACTTTCAAACTTGACCTTATGACCTCTAAACTATTTTGTTTTTTTTTTTAAAAAAAAGGCAGAGGCAAACAATTTTTGTTTTTTATTGTTCAAATCAGTTTTGATTATTTACTTGGTTGCCTGTTCCTGCCTGGGGATTGGGTTAGCTATGGAAAACATCCATTTAAATAACATTTTTGATGACAAAGATTAGGCAATCAATCAACTGCAAGGTCTGAGATAGGGTTATGGTAAAATCATACATTTGTAGATGTTTTCTGTCAAAACCAAAGCCCTTCCCCAAGTCTATGTAACCAGTCTATTCTTTTTGTAATTAATTCTTTTTATTTGTTTATTTTTAAAGATATATTTGCAAATTCAGAAAATTTATATTATAAATTGTATGTCAAATACAACAAAAGCATTTTTCAACTAAAGGAACAGTTTGAAAGTCATGAAATGGCAAATGAAAAAATGTGCAATCTGTGTCAATTTATACTATTTCATGAACAAATTTTGCCTAATAGCAGCTATTTTGCTGTTTGGAATGGATTTTATAAGGCGCCTTTGCTGCTTAAAAGATCATATAATTTCTTAAATATTTTTTGTACAATATGGCAAGCAGGTTTGCAGGTTTTTTCTAATCCCTTCTCAGTCAGTCAGGCATACATTTATCAATTGACATTCAAACACTACTCAATTCCAAGCATACTCATCAACTATTCATTTTGTCCCTCTGTTTATGCCTACTATTTTCCAGATGCTCAAGTGAAATTTGCACCCAAAAATGGACATTTAACACTGGATGTAAACATTGATAATAGCATAAAAACAAATTTTTATCTCGAATCAAAAACATTTGGTTCTCTTCTCCTTCTAAATGGCTACCGTCATGAAATCAGCATATGCAAGACAATTTGCTCACAAGTGTCCATGAAGGCTGCTATTTGCCTCTTTAATAGAGAAATAATTCAGGTAAATCCCATTTGAACTGGAACAAATGTCAAACAGAAATGCCATCAATTATACAGAGATATCCAAGCAAAAAGTGTCTATGTTAATTATAGTTAACATTTGAATTTGTAGATTTTCGCCTATCTGGAAATTATCTTTTATACCCA